CGGGGGGCTGGGCACGGCCCCGGGAGGGGAGGGGGCCCCCACTCGCGTCTGTGCTGTGTCCGGGGGAGCTGTGGCCGTGGGATCCGTCCCAGCCCGGGGAGCGCGGGTGGGCCTGGGCGCCCCGTGGGGTTCGGGGACCCTGAAACGCCCCATGTCGCCCCGTCCTCCCGGGGTGCTCCCCCCCGCCCCGTACCCCCGGGCCGAAGGGTGGGGAGGGGGCTTCTCCTGTGTGTCCGTCTGTCCCCTGTCGTGACACCGTCCATCCTGCAGGCTCGCCATGGCCCTGCCCCGCACACTGGGGGAGCTGCAGCTGTACCGGGTGCTGCAGCGCGCGAACCTGCTGGGCTACTACGAGACCTTCATCCAGCAAGGGGGGGACGACGTGCAGCAGCTCTGCGAGGCGGGCGAGGAGGAATTCCTGGAGATCATGGCGCTGGTGGGCATGGCCACCAAGCCCCTGCACGTCCGCCGCCTCCAGAAGGCCCTGCGCGAGTGGGCCTCCAACCCGGGGCTCTTCAGCCAGCCCGTCTCAGCCGTGCCCGTCAGCAGCATCCCCCTCTTCAAGCTCTCCGAGGCCGGTGGGCGCAAGGCGCTCAGCAACGGGCATGCCAGCCCCGGCGAGGCCGCAGGCAAGGGGGGCGGCAGCGCTGGGACGCCCCCAGCCCGCAGCCCCACAGAGCCAGGGGAGAAGCTGTCACCATCGGCAGCCCCGCCGTGGCCAGGGAGGAGCCCCCCCGAGTCGGAGGGCGGCGGGGATGAGGAGCCAGGGGGTCCCCCCTTCTCCCCAGGCGGGAGTGGCGGCGAGCAGCCGGCGGGCGTGGAGGCGCTGGAGCCGGAGCTGGCGCGGACGGTGGCAGAGAGTGTGGAGCGGCTGCTGCAGAGCTGCCCCCGGGGCGGCGAGGCCGAGCTGCGGGCGCTGATGAAGCTCAACAAGAAGCTGGCCAAGGCCGTGGGGCACATCTTCCAGCTGGAGGATGGCGACCGGCACAAGGAGGAGGAGATCCGCCGGCACAGCGCGATCTATGGCCGTGGCGAGGCCCGGCGCCGCGAGGGCAAGCAGCTCACCCTGCACGAGGTGGGCAGCGCGGCGGGGTCCATGCTCAAAGGCCCCAGGGATGCGCTGGCTCAGGGCAGGGGCTGGGACAGCTCTGGAGGTGTGTGTGGGAGTGGGCTCTGGCCTGGGGAGGAGTTTGGGGTGGGGGCCGGGGTCCGCTCCCGCCCAGATGGCATCTACCCGCCTGGAGCAGGTGCTGCCTTTGCCGTGGGGTCCCGTGGGCACTGCCGTCCCTGCTCATGCATTGTTTCTGCCCCCAGCTCATCATCAATGAGGCAGCTGCCCAGTTCTGCCTGCGGGACAACTCGCTGCTGCTGCGGCGCGTTGAGCTCTTCTCGCTCTCGCGGCAGGTTGCGCGAGAGAGCACCTACCTGTCCTCGCTCAAGGTTGCCAGGTGAGCCCGGACCTAGCAAACCCCCTCCTCGCAGGCTGGGGGCCCTGGCTGTCAGCCCCTCGAGCACAGCCCGGTGCTTCTGCGTGGGGACAGGACCCTGTCACTCCAAGTTCCCTTTTCCCTCGCATGGACTGTTTTCTGCCTGACCTCGGATGTGCGGGAGGTGGAGAGGATGGCTGGGATGCCAGGCACTGGGGGGATGCTGCGGGGGATGCCCCATCCCTTGGCCCCTTCCCCCAAAGCCCCTGCCTGCCAGGTGCTGGGTGCCACAGCCGGGCTGCCTTTTCCCTTCGCTCTCCGGCTGCTCCCCCCTTTTGCCACCCCCAGCTCCATCTGTGCCAAAGCCCTGATCTGCGCCATCCCATGGCACCGCCCTGCCCGGGCGGCTGCCCACGCCTGCCGCCGTGGCTGGCGCTGCCCCCCGCCCGGCTCGGGGGGCCGCCGGGCGGCCCCTCGGCCGGCGC